CTAGGATCTAATGAGGTATGTGTGTATACATGTAGTGTGCATGCACACGTGTGCCATGTATGCACTCTGCCTTATTCCCTTGAGACACACAGGGTCTGCAACTGAACCTGGTGCTTACCATTTTTAGCTAGGCTGGAGGCCAGCAAGTCTCAGCAATCCTGTCTCTACTTCTCCCTTGCTCCAGTTTTGGGATTATAGGTCAAGTGGCCACACCTAGCTTCCTAGATAGAAATCTACAGTCAGGTCCATGTGCTTATGTAGAAAGTGCTCTTACCCAGTGAGCCCTCTCCCTAGTAAAGCAGGCTCACATACTAAAGGCATGGCAACATCCTAGGATCTTATTTAGTGTATTCTATAGTAATCCAGTGGACCTTACATTAGTCTTTGTAAACCATGTTTGAAGTAATTGGAATATATGTAAAGTTTTATATATTTATGTATATATATATGTCTATTGTATGCCTAGATCTGATAATAAAAAATGTTTATGGCTAAAATTTGTGACTTGCAAAGCATTTGGGAGAGAAAAAAAATGTGCTGCCTGTGTTCTTGTTTCTGGGGTGGTATGATGAAACATTGACAGTATCTTCTGAATTTGCTGTTACATAGATTTCTTCTTAATCTTGATCATATGCTTGCAAGATGGTTCAGTTTTTTTAAGTGAATTCTGTATTAAGCTATCATTTGCTAAAATTTCTCAAAGATCTACCTCTGTTTTGTGAAAATTGAGACATTTTAAGACAAAGTAACAGGCAAAGTTATGAATAAAGGATTATAATTGGTGTAGAGATAATATGTTTCTTTAGATCACTAAGATCCATATGGGAAGTATGCATATCTTGTTAATAGTAATATTCTGTGTTTTGCACATGGAGGGCAAGATTTTAACAGTGAGATTCCACCAAAATTCTTATAACAGAGAATTCCCTTGGAACATTTCTAAAAAGGGCATTCATTAAATTGTGTGGATTTAAAAAAAAATAAGTCTTGAGACTGGAGAGTTAGCTCAGCAATTAAGAATACTTACTATTCTTCTAAAAGACTTAAATTCCCAGCACCCAGAGCTTGTGACTTAGGCTCCAAGGACTCTGGTGCCCCCTTTTGGCCTCCATGCATACAGATGCATATAATATAGCACCATGAACAGTTATACAAACACATACCTTATAAAAAAATAAGAGCAACATATGGCAACATGTACTTTTAATTCAGCTTTTGGGAAGCAGAGGCAGGAGAGAGAGAGAGAGAGCGTGAGCACGCTCAAGGACAGTCTAGTCTGCATAGTGAGTTCTAGGCCAGCTAGGATTACACAGAGAGACCTTGTCTCAAATAACCAGCCTGCTGGTGGTGGCGGCACATGCCTTTAATTCCAGCACTCCATAAGCAGAGACAGGTGGATCTCTTGAGTTCAAGGCCACCCTGGTCTACAGAGTGAGTTCCAGGACAGGCAGAACTACACATAGAAGCCCCAGAACAAAACAAACACAAACACCACACAAATATAAATAGATAGATAGATAGACAGACAGACAGACAGACAGACGGACGAATTTTAGGAAAAAAAAGTCTTACTGCCTGTATAAACATAATGAGAAACAGAGAACATGGTTTCAGTTAGGGGCCAGGCCAGAAGGCAACCTATAGGAATTTATTTTTAAGTGAGGGTATTTAACAAAGAGCCTTTAGTATTAATGGTTGTTCAATGGAGTGTACAGCCAATTGTGGAGGAACATTTTAAATTTGAGAGAGAAAGTGAATACCAAAGTTGTATTGCATGTCTTTCCGAGGCTTACATGTAAAATGTAGTTTGTTCATTTACATGCCAGTTGGATAGTTAAATGTTATTTTTCTAGTTTTACATGGAGATTTTGTTTTGTTTTTTTTTTTCTCCCTTCTACGAACTGTACAACAATAGATGGATTTATTTGCAGTATGTATTCTTGCTTCATTTGAACGTTATATGTAGGGTCTCTGGGCTTAAGAATATTTCTATTTAATGAATAATGCTAAATTGGCTTGTCCCACATTATGCTTAGATTCTTCTAGCTAGACATCAAGTGATTCTTTTACTATTAGCAGCCTTTTACAATTGCTATTGCTATCTAGTATGACCACAAATGCTATCTAATGTTTGAATTTTTAGTTCTTTAGTTGTGATTATTGTTGAATTCATTCCTATTTTCCTAATTTTCGTAATTCTCAAAACTACTTGCTCGAGTGGTTGTGTAGCTCTCAGGCTTTACGTTGTATTCATAGTGGTACTATCATAAAATCTAATTGTATGGTAAGAGAGGTCATTATTCTTTACTAAACATGTTTCCTGGTTTATTGTGTGAGATTTTTGTTTAGGAATAAAAATGCTTCAGGTTGGTATCAAAAATTATTTGTATGAAAAGAGAAACTCAAATGGTTTCCAGAAGCACTGTGTCATTGTGTTCATTGTGTCTTCTGCCATTTTTAACATAGAACGTTTCCCTAAGGACTTGACTTTCTTTGGCCCAGCTTCTCTTTCAGACCTTACCAGCTTGAGGCTTTTCGGGCTATCTCTGCTCCTGCTTCCAGGGAGAGGTATTTTTTTCTGCCTCCCTCACTGGAACCTGACCCCTTCCTCACTCTGGGACCACAAATGTTTCCTCCTCAGACAGGCAATAGCAACCCCTTCTCAAAGGGATTTTGAAATCTTTCTGTTGTGGCTAGCAAAGTCTGCTTTTGAGAAGCTTCCTTGTTAAAGCTCTACTTTTTTTCTCTACCTAAAAGAAACTGCCTTTCTGGGGTTTGTATGTAACTTTTTTTTTCCTGCAGCCTGCTGGAGGCCTTGCTACTGGGTGTGTGTTGGGAGGGGGGGGTCTAATCAGTATTCCGTAAGTGCTCTTGCTTTGTTTTTCAGAACAGAAAGAAAACTGCTTTATGTAAGTTCTTGCTAGAATAATGTAAATTCTGTCACACATTGGTATGCCATTTGTTGTTTAGAATAGTTCCAACCCCAGGTTTTAAGTAAGTTAACTTTATGTTACAGATTTAAACACACCCAATGACCAACAATCTATAACCAAGACATATTGAACATGGTAATTTTTATACATTCAGAATAGACAAACATCTTGCTTTTTGTTGAATCCAATTTTTTATGACCACAGGAACTTTGTAGCAGAATTAACCATTTGTTTTTTTTCTTACTGGAAAAATCTATTAACTACTTTTTTGTTTGTTTTCTTTTTCTAGCTCCAGTGATTTTAACTGTTGCTTGACACTGCCCAGCAAATTTTAACTTCCACAATAAATGATCTTCTCCTGCTAAACATTTTCTTGCTGTTTCCAGTTCCCTGGGCAGAGGACCTCAGTAGACAATAACTCTTAACAGACCTTGAGTACAAGTTGCTGTAGGACCATATTGAGAGCATGCAGGTTTTAATTTTTTTTAATTGTTTAAAAGGCATAGGAGCATGGACTCTCATCATATTGTCCTGTCCATTAGGATGCTCTATAATTGGAAAACCATAAAACTCTTCTTTCTGCTTATCTTTTTCTTTCTCTTAACTCTGCAGCATCATCAGGATCTAAGTCATCCTCAAAGTCTTCTTCTAACAAGAAATTATCGTTAGGAGGACATATAACTCTTCTGGAGGTTTAACCTCATTTTGTCTCAAAGCCTCCCATCTGTTTTTCTCTTTTTTCTAACTCCTAAAGTTTTACTTTCTCAGTCCTGTGCTACATACACAGACTATTTCTAATTAAATTCCATACAGAAAACATGAGGCTAATGCCTTGTCCCATTTTTTTTTTAACTCTTGAATTTTACTCACCGCAACCTTTTCTCTTTATGATTCGAGCTCGCCAACACCCATCAGCAGAGTCGAACAATTCTTGAGTGGGGAGTGAGGATTGAAAGAAAATAATAATTAAAAAAACCAAGACACTACACATCAGATATTTCCCAAAGGGCTTCTAGTAGACTAGGCACTGGTTTAGGCCACAGTCCCTTTTTATAATCAGAGCAAAGCACCTTGATACAATGAAGAGGTTCATGCAGAAGTCAAACTTGTTTACCTCGACCACCTATCTGTGTGTGATTCTCACACAAACAAAAGGAAGTGAACTTGACAACACATCCTGTCTATCCCTGTCTCCAGGTGAAGGCCAGGGTGAAAACATGTTTTTCACTAAGAGCTCAATAACAAAGCACCCTGACAAACAAGCGGCTCTCTACAGTGAACAGTTTCCAAAGTAGTTTTGCCATCTTACTTTCTCACCACTAATATGAGTGTTCATTCCTCCAAATCCTTGTCAACATCTAAAATAACAGTCGTTATAGCCACCTAGGTATATAGTGGCTCTCTGTGTAGCTGTAGCTATGACTAATGATGTTACACATTTAAACATGTTTTTGTGATGTGCTCATTATGTCCTCTGTCCATTTTTCTTTGGGGTTGTCTGTTTCAGTGTACTTGTAAGTACTTTTTACCTGTTCTGGGCACTGTTTTATTAGATGTTTGTGGCACGTGTCTTCTCGTATACCTTTCATATTTATCTCTTGAGTTTCTTTTTATTATTTAGCCATCCTGGTAACATACCACATTACTATAATTCCAAAATTTATAGTAAGGGATTGTTTTTGGATTGTAAGAAACCCTCTACCCAGAATGTTTTTCTTCAAGATTATCATATAAGCTATTCTTAGCCTTTTGTGTTTGCATGTACATTTTATTCCCAGTTAAAAACAAATTAAAGGCAATGAGGAATCATTTAAGTCAGTGATAGCCATCAAGATTTATCTAATATTTTCATAATGATTGCTTCAGCCCAAGTGTAGAAGCTTTTATTAGGATTAAAGAATGTCTTTGTTATTTCAGCATTCAGTATATATTTTCCTGTGGACTAATGACTTTAATTTTTAAGCTAATGGTTATGAAACATACTTGCTAAAAATTTCACAGAGAACCTTTAAGATTATAAAAATATATGCACATAAAAATACATTTAATTTTTTTGTTTTGTTTTAGGGTGTCTGTGACAACAGTCTTTTTTGGAACTTTTTCAAGACTCTCTGAAGGAGCCAGTAGGATTTTTTTACATCATGACGTAATCTGAAAACAAGAACAAGGAATACGTTTTATTTTAAGTATAATGAAGGGCTGTGTATGAACACTGACCCTGACTCAATTCTGATGAACATTTTAGACATGAGTTTACATCGGCAAATGGGTTCAGATAGAGATCTTCAGTCTTCTGCTTCATCTGTGAGCTTGCCTTCTGTCAAAAAGGCACCCAAAAAGAGAAGGATTTCAATAGGCTCTCTCTTTCGGAGGAAAAGGGACAGCAAACGTAAATCAAGGGAGCTCAGTGGTGGGGTGGATGGAATTGCAAGTATTGAAAGTATACATTCTGAAATGTGTACCGATAAGAACTCCATTTTCTCTACAAATACCTCTTCTGACAATGGATTGACTTCTATCAGCAAACAAATTGGAGACTTTATAGAATGTCCTTTGTGCCTTCTGAGGCATTCTAAAGACAGATTTCCTGATATAATGACATGTCACCATAGATCCTGTGTGGATTGCTTACGACAATACCTAAGGATAGAAATCTCTGAAAGTAGAGTTAATATCAGTTGTCCAGAATGTACTGAACGGTTTAATCCCCATGACATTCGCTTGATACTAAGTGATGATGTCTTAATGGAAAAATATGAAGAATTTATGCTTCGACGGTGGCTTGTTGCAGATCCTGACTGTAGGTGGTGTCCGGCTCCAGACTGTGGGTGAGAACATACTGTTTAGCTTTTCTTAATTTATTTTTCTCTGGAGCTAAAATAAGGATTTTCTTATAATCTAAAGAACAATCTTAATATGCCAAATAATTTATTTACTCATCACATTTTGGGTATAGTCCATATTAAGTATCAAAAGTCAGAAATCCTAACTTGTTTATATATTGTCTCTTAAATTTTTACTTGTATTTTGTGAAGCCAGTTATAAGCAAATTTGGATTTCTCCATCCATGAGCAGTTTTTATTTATGGATAATGTAATGCTCAGTATTAGGGTTATTTGTTGTCATAAATAAACCTTTTGAAAGGTGTTTTATGCCACAGATTGGTGTGCTCGTGCTCATATGGGACCATCTTCAGGTCTTAAGATTTGTTACACAGGGTTAAATAATTAATTTATCTCAATTTCTAAGTGACAAATGTTTTCTCAGCATTTAAAATAAAACAATATTGCCCGTGTATTTGATTATTATGTAATGAAGCCTTCATGTTGTGCGTTTATTACATTACTAAGAAAACCAGTTGTATGCTCTTTAAATAAGTTATAGGCCCATTATATAAAAGCCATGATAGAGAGATAGCTCCGTTGGTAAAATGACTGATTTGCAAACATGGATATCTGAGTCTGGATTCCCCAGAATCCATTTAAAAAGCTAGTCATGGTGGGCATACCTATAACATCAGTGCTAGGGGGAAGGCAGAGACTGGTAGAGTCCTAAAACTCATTGACCAGCCAGTCTAGATACATTAAGTGGAGAGTTATTATCAGCCCCTGACCTTAAATGCATGTGCCCCCAAATTGTGTTTGTGTACATACCCTATATACAAGACTACTGAAAAGAATAGTAAAACCTATAAAAAGTAAAATGTAATATCCCTTAGTACCTCATATATTGTATAGAGCTTATGAAAACCATGAGTTTCTATATTTGATTATAGCTCAAGGGAAAGCTAGAATGTGAATTTATTAAATATAGTTTCAGAATTCGTTGTCTGTCAAACTAACTTTTAAAGACATGTTGAGTAAGTTTTCAGATTGTATCTAACCTGTTCTCTAATTTTAACTGAAAAAAGTTAAGTATTTTCTGTATAGGCAAATCTGTAAACACAACTACCAATAGTTACTATGTAATGTAAAGTATTAAAACAGTTACTTAATAATCTAATGAATTCATTACTTGTGTAAGACTTAGACACAATCTAGTATCAGACTTGTTGTGCTTTTTTATACTTAAAGGGTCTCTATTACAATAGCTCGCATTAACAATACTATATAAGGGGTTGGAGGTGTAGTTTAGCAGGTCAAGTTCTTAGTATTTATGAGATCCAGGGTCTGATCCCCAGAAACATAAACAGAGTATGTTAGTGAATGCCTACAATTTTAATACTTGGGAAGTGGAAGCAAAACAGAAGTTCAAAGTCATCCTCAGCCACCTAGTAAGTTCAAAGCTATCCAGGGCTGCATAAGAGCCGGCCTCAAAAATAAAAGTAGGTAGGTAGGTATGTAAAAAGAAGATAACGTGTTAAACTGGGCCAAGGCTAGCTGAGCTTCCAGGTATAATGGCAGAACTAAACTCTGCGATCTATGATGAGTTACACTCTATGTCTAGAAAATAGGATTTATTTTTCTATTATTTTCTTACTTAACCAAGAGATTGTTTCCTATTTCAACAAACAGCTTTGATGTGATTTTGTCACTCTTGAGCCTGTGAACCATTTGCACTGTATTTTCATTGTTGCAAGAGTGCAGATCATTTTCCTGAAATTAGATTTGAGGTAGACAAAACATTTTACCTAAAAGATCCCTTTTGAGAATCATTATATCTAATGCTCCCATAAAACACTTCAAACACTGAGAAATGATGTCTGTTGTATTGATCATATAGAGGAAGAATGTGTTTTTCATGTATCCTTCATGGAACCTCAGGACATAAGTTATTTAATGAAGTGTCAGAAATTGGCCAGCATAAACTGGGACAGTAAATCTAAGGGCCTACACTGAAATCAGGGCAGATCCCAGAAGTAGTTATAAAAGGAAAAAGAAAAATAACAGGAAAATACACATGGATAATTTACTTATTTGCCACATTTTCTGTTTAAAATTGAATACACCTTCCATTAGAGAGATTAACACCAAGAAAACAAAATAGGAACACCTAATTTAATAGATTTTATTGTTAAGAAAACAAATTTATGGTAAGTATGTAAATTTAGTAAAGAATTACCCTTCATTAATTTGGCAATACAGTAAGTTTTTATTGATGATTGTCAATAGATTTAGGTACAGAAAACTAATTAGAGTCCTCTTATTTTTACATTAATGTTTGTGCTGGCTCTCTAGAGATAAAGAGCATGTTGTATATATGGCTCGTAATGTTACAGGTGTTAAATTGGTATTGTATAGAAACTTTACCACTCACATAAAACTTGTATGCATCGTTTGAGCACCATGTAGAATGATGTTGGGAATCCAGCGTGGGTCCTTTGCAAGAGCAGACAGTGCTCTTAACCATTGAGCCATGTCTCCAATTCTTAATTCCTGCCATTTTGAAAACAAACAAACAAACCCACCAGCTGGTCTTAGCATTAGCCTTTGAATTTTCTCTGATCTTCCATTCTGCTCCTCTTCTAGCCTCCTTCCTTTCTTTAGTAAAAGATAGGATACAGAGGGCTAGAGAGGTGGCTTAGTGGATGAGAGCACTGTCTGCTCCTCCAGAGGACCTGAGTTCAATTCCCAACAGCCTCATGGTGGTTCACAACCATCTGTACTAGAATCTGATGCTCTCTGCTGGCGTGCAGGTGTACATGCAGATAGAACACTCATATATAAAATAAATAAACTCTTAAAAAAAAAAAAAGATAGTTTACAGAACAGGTTTAGAATTTCTTTTCCTTTTTGTTGAAATTACTATTTTTATATAAAACTTGACTTTAAAATCATAGGCATTTTAGAATTAAATAAAATGTAGATTCTTCTCCCCCCCCCAGGACTGATATAAATTAGCTATTATTAAAAAAAATATATTTTTAATAAGTATTATATTTGTGTGTATGGGTGTTTTGCCTGCATGTGTGCAGTGCTTGTAGAGGCCAGAAGAGGGCATTAAATTCCTTGTGCCTGGAGTTACAGACAGTTGTGAACCACCCTGAGAGTGTGGATGCTGGAAATCTAGCCCAGTTCCTCTGTAAGAACAGCAAGTGCCCTTAACTGCTGAGCCATCTCTCTAGCCCTCATTGGTTATCTTAAAATCCAGGGAAATAAAATTCTGCTAAATTACCCTTTTATTTAAATTGCCATTAATTCTGTACTGTTGCGACAAATTCTCCCAGAGGTAAAATAGAATTTAAGGTGAAAACTTTGAATTTGAAGAATGAGATGCTTGAGGAAGTATTGAGTCTTAAAATCTTGCACAATTATGCAAATAGTCTTGAAATTTGATAATATCTTAGATATGATTATTTATGACTTTAATTTTGTTGCCAGTAACAAGAACCCCAAAACTGTCCTAACTTTCCAGGAAATGTTTGTTATTTTAAAAATGAAAACTTAAATATTTCAAAGAGAGGTAGAAAGCTCTAGATCTTGACAGTTCAGTTGTATAATTGTATGTATACAAACTTACAGGAACAAAGCTGTTCCTGTGTACCATTCACAATTTTTCCTCCTCCCCCATTACCAGTTTACAAAGCTATAGAACAGTATTACAATACGATTGTCACTTCTGCCATGTAAGGATATTGGCATAGATATACTGTATTAGTTATAAAACACCATGCACAGGGATAAGTCCATCACTATCATAGTGGGAAAGCATGGAAGCAGGCAGTCATGGCGGAAGAAACTGCTGAGAGCTGTCATCTCAGATGTAAGCAGCAAACAACAAAAAGGCCCTGGCACATAGCTTTTGAAACCTTAAAGCACACACTCAGTGACATGTTTTCTCCAGCAAGACTACGCATCCTAATCCTACCCAAACAGCATTGCAGACTAGAACTAAATATTCAAATGCCTGAGACTATTGAGTTGGGGCAGGATGGGCAACATGGATCATTCAAATCACCACATAGTCTATTGGTTTTACTCAGATTTCCCTTTTTATATGTACTAGCTAATTTATGTGGACTGTAATTAGCTATATAGAATTTTTATTAGGTGTAGATTTGTGTGCCTTCTATCACAGTCAAGGATATTACAATCTTTCATGCTCCTGGTTACAGCCAGATGTTCGAGCCTGACAGTGCCAGTTAACTGAGGAAGCTGAGACAGGATCACAAGTTCAACCTCTGCTTGACTGAAAACAAGTTCAGAGGCAGCAATTTAGTAAGACCCTCTCTCAAATTTAAAACAAAATAAAAAAAAAACACAAACTTTTTTTTAAAGGCAGTAATTCTTCATGTCATTATTTTATAGCAATGTTTACTTCCCTTCCACTCTCTGCTTTGAATCCTGGCAGTCATTAATCTGCTTTCCATTTCTAAAACCTTGTCAACAATTTCAAGTGTTACTCATACAGGGTTTGTAACTTTCCAAAATTAACTTAAAAAAAAAAAAACAAACCCTCAATGTAATCCCCCAGAGATTTGTTCATCTTGTTACTTGTATCAATCATTTGTTTTGATTTTTGTGTAGTGTTCTTTGGTGTGCATGTATGCAGCATAGTTTAATCATTTGTTGGTTGATGGACATCTGGTCCTTTTCCAGTTAGAGCTATTGTGAATGCATTTGCTATGAAAGTTGATATGAAGAAATTTTAATTTCTCTGGGACAAATGTCTAAGAGCATCCAAATTTAAGTTAAAAAATTTAAAATGTTGACAGCCAAGGCTACACAGAGAAACCCTCTCTCTATAAAAACAAAATAAAAAAATAATTTAAAGTATTAAAAATATTTACGTAGAGAATAGGCATTAAAGCTATTCATAAATGTATTATTCATCTTTTATTCAAGTCCACCCCCACACAACCCCCCCATTCCCACTCTATTTTAATTAAAATAGAAGTCTATTTTTATTAAATTATTATGTGACATTGGTTTGTTTGTTTGTTTGTTTGTTTGTTTGAGAGGGTCTTCCCACATAGCCCTGGCTGTCCTGGAATTCACTATGTAGTCCAAGCTGGCCTTGAATTCACAGAGATCAGCTTGCCATTGCCTCTGAGTACTGGGATTAAAGACATGCACCCCCCAATACCTGGCTAAAACTTGAAAATAAAGATTTTTAAATTTTAAAAATTATGTACTTTCATTTATAAACTGTCATTTTTTTCTCATATTTTCATGTTTGTTAGATGGGTTAGGGTTTTATTAATGCATATATGAAAAGTGTTTCCTGAGTAGCATTTTAATTGGATGCTTTTAAATTTTCACTAAATTTTGTTTTGTGTCACATTTTAAATCATTTTCCTTTCCTTTCAAGATATGCTGTGATAGCATTTGGGTGTGCCAGCTGTCCTAAATTAACTTGTGGGCGAGAAGGCTGTGGAACGGAGTTTTGCTACCACTGTAAACAGATCTGGCATCCAAACCAGACCTGTGATGCTGCTCGACAGGAGAGAGCTCAGAGCTTACGCTTAAGAACTATACGTTCTTCATCCATTAGTTACAGCCAGGAGTCTGGAGCAGCAGGTATTATGTCTCTATATATTTATATACTTTAAATATATAAATAAATACATACTTATGTATTTTAAAAAATATATTTGTATGTGTGTGCCTAAAGGTGGGAAGTGAGTGGAGATCAGAGGATAACATGGGTGTTGGTCCTCACCTTTTGCTTGTCTGGGACAGGATAACTTGGTTTTTCTGCTGTCTTTGTCAGGCTAGCTAGCCTGTAATCTTCCGGGAATCCCCCGTCCTTTGCCTTGTACTTTGTCCTGTTTTGGGGGATTCAAATTCAGGTCCTCATGCTTGTGAAGCAGGTGCCTTCCTCACTCAGGCACTTGCCCAGTCCTTGTCTGACTTTTAAAAAAATAAGTTATTTGACACAGAGAGATTGCTTGGTGATTTTTTAACCTTTCCTTTCTTGTTTATCCTCAAGATCTCACATTAAAAACATAAATAACTTTAAAAGTCTCACAGTCTTTACAAATTCAAACACATTAAAATTTCAGTTCCTAACCAACCCAGCCATAAAACCGTCAACAAAACCTACAGTTTTTCCTGCTTACAGAGTGTTCTGGGAGCCCAGCATAATCATCATCAGAGAGACATCATCCAGCAACTGATGGATGGGAGCAGACACAGAGTACCACAGCCAAATATTGGCAGAGCCCAGGGAGTCCTTCAGAGGAGATGGAGGAAAAATCAGAGGAACCAGAGGGGTCAGGGACACCACAGAATCAACTCACTGGCACTCTTGGGCGCTCACAAGGATCAGGGAGCCTGTAGGGGGTCTGACCTAGTCTTCTGCATTTATGTTATGGCTGGGTAGCTTGGTGTCCTTGTGGGATTCCTAAGAGTGAGAGCAGGGGCTGTCTCTGACTCTTGCCTGCTTGTGGGATCCTTTTCTTCCTACTGGCATGCTTCATCTACCCTTAATATGATGATATGTTCCTGGCCTTACTTGTAGTTTTTTTATGTCTGTTGGAGGTCTCCTCTTTTCTGAGGGAGGCAGAGAGGGAGATCTGATGGCGGAGGAAAAACTGCATTCAAGGTGTAATATATTAGAGAAGAAAAAAATCTCAGTCCCTTCAAAATAGCCAGTTACTTTTAAAATCCAAAGTCTTCCAATTGTGGGCTCCAGTAAAATAAACCCAATACTTTCTTACCTCAAGAGGGAAAAATCAGGGCACAGTCACAGTCAAGTCAAAGCAAAACCAGACTCCCAACTGTCCAATGTCTAGGATCCACTCACAATCTTCTGGACAACTGCAAAGAGCTTGGGTCACTTTTTTGGTTCTGCCCTTTGTAGTGTACACAGCTTGTCTTCTAGGCTCTGGTTGGCTCCACTCCACTGCTGCTGCTGTTCTTGGTGGTCATCCCATGGTACTGGCATCTCCAAAGTGCTGGGGTCTTGTGTGGTAATTGGGCTACATTTTCACCAATAGCCTCCCCTTGACTTTTCATGTGCAAAGCCTCAACTTTTTTGCATGACCCCTTCAGTCGTTGGCCTTCACCTGAGGTTGCACCTTCACCAGTGGCCTCTCCTGGCCCCTCACAATGCCAAGCAATCAGCTCCTATTAATGACCTCTTCATGCCTTCAAACCCAGTACCACCTGGGTGACACTGACATTGTCGAGCTTGGCTGCTTTCTCGAGTTACAACCTTGTCTGCCTCTGGAACACAACTTCTCTGTGTGCTCAGGAAACTCAGCTCAGTTCTTTCTTAGTCACCAATAATTTTTTAGCTCTCTCTAACCAGTATTAATGGTCCCAGTAACTCAGCAGTTTCACTTCAGTGGTGCTGGTCTCTTGTTTAACCTTCAGCCCCAGCTGACAAAATGACAGACTCTTAATTCAAAATGGCAATGGCCCTGGTAGAATCTTTAAACTTCCCCCTGAAACCTCATAGGCCAGGCCTCCATCTCTTGCAGTGCTCTGAACATTTTTATTTTACCAAACTCCTAAAGAATATCCTAATGAGCTCTCAATGACTCTTCTCACCGAAGGTTCATGAGTCCTTCCACAATCCTGCCCAAAACATGGTCAGGTTTGTCACAACAATACCCCACAATGTTGGTACCACCTTGTCTTAGTTAGAGTTTATATTGCTATGATGAAACACCATGACTAAAAAGCAAGGTGAAGAGAAATTCAGCTTCTACTTCCACATTGCTGTTCAAAAAACAACAATAAAAAAGGGTTTTGTGCTTTATGTGTGTTTCTGTCCTAGAAGCTTTACTCCTTTTGGTTTTTCAAGGCAGGGTTTCTCTGTGCGGCCTTGGCTGTCCTAGACTTGCTTTCTAGACCAGGCTGGCCTCATACTCAGAGACCCACCTGTGTCTGCCTCCCTGAGTGCTGGGATTACAGGTGTGCGCCACCTAGACCAGCTATAAACCTTACTCTTGATGTATTTCTGTTTAATAAATGGAGAGAGTGCTTCTAAGATTGGAAAGATTTTTTTTTGTCAGTAACAACAGAAAAAGAAAGTCACCTGACTTTTTACATACTAGAGCACTGGATATAGTCTGTACCTATTACTCATAAGTGCATAGCATATAAAACTTGTAAACACATTTTAAAAAGGTAATTTGGAATGTAGTACTTGGATTGAATAATTTACAGTGAATTTCTGTTTGTGTAAAGACCACACAATTAAAAATTTAATCTTTTCATTTAAATATTTTATGAAATTAAAGAATTTTTCATATATTCAATCTAGAAGTAAGGGCATAAAAATCAGATCTTCAGGAGACACACGGAACTTCAGGGTGTCTTTGGGCAGGAAATTAAAAATTACCTAGGTGTCTTTCTTCATATAAACATGCATCTTATAAATCTCAAAATTAAATAAAAAACAGACTTCTATTCTTTTTTTCATAAATTTTTTATTTTTTATATTAATTATAGTTTGTTCACTTTGTATCCCAGCTGTAGCCCGCTCCCTCATTCCCCGTCCCTTATCTCCTCCCATGCCTCTCTCCAAGTCCACTGATAGGGGAGGTCCTCCTCCCCTTCCATCTAACCCTAGCCTATCAGGTCTCATCAGGACTGGTTGCATTGTCTTCTCTGTGGCCTGGTAAGGCTGCTCCACCCTCAGGGGGAGGTGATCAAAGAGCCAGCCACTGAGTTCATGTCAGAGACAGCCCCTGTTCCCCTTACTAGGGAACCCACTTGGAGAGTGAGCTGCCATGGGCAATATCTGTGCAGGGGTTCTAGTTTATCTCCATGAATGGTCCTTGGTTGGAGTATCAGTCTCAGAAAAGACCCCTGTACCCAGATTTCTTGGTTGTGTTGCTCTCCTTGTGGAGCTCCTGTCTCCACCAGATCTTTCTATTTCCCCCTTCTTTCATAAGGTTCCCTGGACTCTGCCCAAAGTTTGGCTGTGAGCCTTAACATCTGCTTTGATACTCTGCTGGGTAGAGTCTTTCAGAGGCCCTCTGTGCTAGGCTTCTGTCCTGTTCCCTGTTTTCTCCCTCTTCCAGTTCCATCCCATTTGCCTTTCTGAGTGAGGATTGATCATCTTACCCAGGATCTTCCTTCTTGCTTAGCTTCTTTAGGTGTACAGATTTTAGTTTGTTTATCCTATATTATATGTCTAATATCCACTTATAAGTGAGTATGTACCATGTGTGTCTTTTTGGAAAAAAAAATACTTTGTGCACAAGGAAAGCAACAGAGTCAAAAAATCTGGGCACAGGGTCTTTTCTGAGACTGATACTCCAACCAAGGACATGCTTGGAGATATCCTAGAAACTCTGCACAGATGTAGCCCATGGCAGCTACCCTAGTAAGGGGAACAGGGGCTGTCTCTGACATGAACTCAGTGGCTGCCTCTTTGTTCACCTCCCCCTGAGGGTGGAGCAGCCATGCCAGGCCACAGAGGAGGACAGTGCAGCCAGTCCTGATGAGACCTGATAGGCTAGGGTGAAATGGAAGGGGAGGTGAACCTCCCCATCAGTGGACTAGGGAGAGGCATGGGAGGAGATGAGGGAGGGAAGGCAGGATTGGGAGGGAATGAGGAAGGGAGTTATAGCTGGGATACAAAGTGAATAAATTGTAATAAATAAAAATAAAAATGTATATTTTGTTAACAGTTTTCTTTGTTCATTGGAATTTTAATCCATAGGAAACATTTTGTGTTGCTATCACAGCAAAAAAAAATTTTAACTATAGAAATGTGTAAATAGAAATCTATATTTATACCAACCAGTAATACATTATCATGTACTTGATCTGCTTAAGAAAAAAGTTTTTAAATTTTATTATGGGTTTAACATTTTATATAATATATTTGAGTTTTCATTCTTCCTTGCTTACTGGCTTGTTTCTATCTCCTCTCTTAAATATTTGGGATAGAATGCAAAGGGTTTAGCAATAATAATAATTATGCATATGCATCCAGAATTTAGCAAAGACCTGTTCCTGGAGACTTAGCAGTAGCCATTGGATGTTTCCCTTGGAAATAACAATGTTAAATGTTACTTTCCTTTGGGTGGGGAGGGTTTTTTGTTTTTTTTTGTTTTTTGTTTTTTGTTTTTTCATTCACAGGACACACAAACATGTAGAGTAATAGAATGGACTCCAGACTCCCCTTCCTCTCTGTGACCTGAACAAGGCACTTACCTTAAAAAATGGACACTAGTTTTCTCTTACTTCCAATGTCCATCCCATTTGTCTTTCTAAGTGAGGATTGATCATCTTACCCCAGGTCCTCTTTCTTGTTTATCTTCTTTAGGTGTACAGATTTTAGTGTGTTTTTCTACTTTTGGGATACCTCACTCAGGATGATCTTTCTAGATCTCACCATTTGCCTGCAAATTTCATGATTTCCTTGTTTTTAATTGCTGAGTAATAAAGCTGCTATAAACATGGTTGAGCAAATGTCCTTGTTGTGTACTTGAACATCTTTTGGACATATGCCTAGGAGAGGTATAGCTGGATCATGAGGAAGCACTATTCCTAGCTGTCTGAGAAAGCGCCAGATTGATTTCCAAAGTGGATGTACAAGTTTACATTCCCACCAGCAATGGATGAGTGTTCCCCTTTCTCCACAACCTCTCCAGCATGTGTTGTCACTTGAGTTTTTGATCTTAGCCATTCTGATGGGTGTAAGGTGAAATCTCAGGGTCATTTTGATTTGCATCTCCCTGATGGCTAAGGACATTGAGCATCTCTTTAAGTGTTACTCTGCCATTCAATATTCCTCTACAGAGAATTCCTACCGCAGAGGGCCTCTGAAAGTCTCTACCTAGCAGTGTATCAAAGCAGATGCTGAGACTCATAACCAAACCTTTGACAGAGTGCAAGGAATGACAAGAAAGAAGGGGGAATTAGTATGACCTGGAGAGGACAGGAGCTCCACAAGGACCTAACATTTCTAGGCACAGTGGTCCTTTATGAGACTGTATCTCCAAACCAAGGACCATGTATGGATATAACCTAGAACCCCTGCTCGAATGTAGCCCATGGTAGCTCAGTATCTAAGTGGGTACCCTTAAGGGGAACAGGGACTATTTCTGACATGAACTCAAATGGCTGGCTCTTTGACTTCCCCCCTCCGCCCCCAGAGGGAGGAGCAGCCTTTCTAGGCCACAGAGGAGGACATTGCAGCCAGTCCTGAAGAAACCTGATAAGCTAGGGTCAGATGGAAAGGGAGGAGGACTTCCCCTATCTGTGGACTTGGAAAGGGGCAGGGAGGAGATGAGGGAGGGTAGGATTGGGAGGGAATGAGGGAGCGGGCTACAGCTGGGATACAAAGTTAATAAACTGTAACTAATATTAAAAAGAAAAAAATAGTAAAAAAATGGACACTAACAATGCTCACGTCCATACAGTTGCAACATCTAATGTTAGATATGGAAACACTACAGAACTCTGCTAGAGACTTGAGATTGTGTGAACCCTTGTTAAATCAAAAGAAATGTTGAATGAACATTACAAGTTAGTTATCTAAGCAAATATTGGGCTCCCTCCAAGAAGTCACCATGGAAGAGTGTGTGTAGCCATTTTACACTGGAATGCCTTGCTGGCATAACTGGCAGAATCTGCAAAGGTAGTTTCAGTTTGATTTGAATTTGTTTTATCTGTTGAAATAACCAAAATTCTTTCTTTTATAGCTAAATAAAACTATTGATATCATGCCAGGTAAATCATGGATTTCGGTTCAGGCATGTGTGTATTCAGCTTTCTGATGCTGTGATAACATTGTTACCTACAGAGTCCACACATTAGAACTGTGCAACAAAATTGACCCCCTCAAAAAAATCTAAAAATAATTTCATAATGTTTTACTAAATTTACAGTTTTGTGTTTGCTACTTCTTAAGCAAATAGGAATTGTATTTCTTTTTTATATACTTGTTGTATTTAGGTGTAAAAGCCAGGTTTTCTTTTTGTCTATCTTGATAAAGCAGTTAAAAATTGAGCATAAAACTTGTAGTAAAGGGAAATAGGATATTAGCTTAATGTTTAGAAAGTAGTAGCATGGAACACATTTTCTGAATTGCATATGGGATAGATGATATAGCTGGCTAATGGTGGCAATTAGGTAACTATAAGTTGCTATTTAAAGAACAGCTAGAATTCAAAATGGTGGTATAACTCTTAATCCTTGGTTGCTGCCTAAGATTACCTCCCACTGGATTTTTAAGTTGGCACTCTTGTGCATTTCCTCACACATTAGTATACATACACTTGGCACCAACATCGCTTGAGTCAGCGAACAGAAAAGACAGAGTCTACTCAGGAGCAGTCATGAGGACAAGAATAGCTGCATTTATTATGAAGCTGTTCTCTACGATTTATAGTGTTCTTAGTTGATGTTCTTGGAAGAGAAAGGGGAATTCTCAGTGTTTGAACAGTGCCTTACATGAGTACGAAGTGCTCCCTTCCTAAATGTCTCTTCACTAAAAGAATAGCATACAGTAATCTGCACTTCTCCTTTGTCATTGTTTTTTGTTCTCATTGCTTTGCTACCATGCTTGAAAAATGTTTACAACCTGAAAATTTAATACAAAGTACATTTCCTTCAGAGGAAAAAAAATACTTTCCATACTAAAAACAGCAGATTAAAACTGTTACTTAGTGAACTGTAATTGCAAAGATTTGTTTGGGCAGTGTTGCTTCTGGTAATGTGCCGGAAACCATTTCTACACACTTCATATTTTCTTGTCTCTATGCCCCTCATAGCTGATGATATAAAGCCGTGTCCACGGTGCACTGCTTATATAATAAAGATGAATGATGGGAGCTGCAATCACATGACATGTGCTGTCTGTGGCTGTGAGTTTTGTTGGTTGTGTATGAAAGAAATCTCCGATTTACATTATCTAAGGTAAGCTTATGAAGAGAACTATTTATGTATGAGTAGACTTTACACTGTATACCAAAGTCTTTGTTTCAAAAACAGCATTAACCTAAGTAATTTTATTCCTGAGATTCATAAGCTATGTAAAGAGATCGCTTTTATTCCTCCTTCCATAAGTTTAAAAGCTACCAAATTATACTTAAGTGACTTAGAATCAATAAAAGTAGGAAGTAAAGGTTCCTTTGTTTTTGCATTGTTATTATTGAACTTTAGTGCTAGTATTTGCTATTCTATGCAATTAATCCAGCTCTTAATTTTCTCATTTATATCCCAAGATTGGTTAATTAATTAATTAATTTAGTTTTTCAAGACAGGGTTTCTCTGTGTAGCCCTGGCTGTCCTGGAACTAGCTCTGTAAACTAGGCTGGCCTCAAACTCACAGATTTGCCTGCCTCTGCTTCCCAAGTGCTGGGACCAAAGGCGTGTGCCACCACTGTCTGTCCCAAAGTGAATTTATGATGTAATTACATATGTGACTAAGATGGAGGTGAAATAAGCTTGTTTTATTTTGTATCAGTATATTGTTCAGAAATTAAGGCTTTGAAGGTTATGGAGAACTAGGAATAAATTTTAAATCATAATTAGCAGTATCCTGTTCATGTAACTTAAAGTGGATCTTTCTTTAATCTTTTGGCTTTTAAATGAACCCAAAGTACAAAAGGGAGGTGGTTAAGTATGATAAGTATTTTTCTTCTGTATTTGTTGCTTTGATGTGTTCTAGTATACTTTTTCCCAAAAGTTATTGTATAATTTCCCTCTTAGTCCATCAGGTTGTACTTTTTGGGGGAAGAAACCCTGGAGCCGAAAGAAGAAAATCCTGTGGCAGCTGGGAACCCTTGTTGGTGCTCCTGTAGGGATTGCTCTAATAGCTGGCATTGCCATTCCTGCCATGATCATTGGCATTCCTGTGTATGTGGGTCGCAAGGTAAGTCCTCTCTTCTTACTACAGTACCTTCATTCTAAACTCTTGGTATGTCTTCTCCTAAGAAATGTCTTTGTTTTGTTTTAACACCGAAGTTGGTTTTAGTTTCTTCATTGTAGAAGTTTTGGCCTGGGGATATAATTTTTGGTAAAATTTTTCATGGAGAACATCCTGGATTTGATCTCTAGCACCACATAAACTGGTTGTGGTGGCCCATACTTGTAATTCCAACACTCAGGAAGTGGAGGCAGGAGGACCAGAAATTCAAAACCAGAGCAAGTTTGAACCCAGCCCATATGTCTCAAAAGTAAATAAGTAAACTAACAAAAGGCCCTATTTACACAGTAAACTCTGATGTTTTGTGAGCTAATACCTGTATAAAAAGCAACCTTTGCTACAGATCTGCTTTCACATTTTGAATGATAAATGACACTGTTCTCTATTGGGTATATCCTTGTAAAGTTATTACTGTGAGATCTTTAAGATAGAAATTAATGGCTAAATAATGCATGCCACTTCCATTATATTATTACTGTTAGTAAATACAGTTTACAGGTTATAAGTCTTTTGTGGAAATCCAAATACCAACATTTACTAATCCCTACCACTGTCCTAGAAATGCTGAATTATGTCATTAGCTAAGTAACTTTTTTTTGAAGTGCTAATGGAATAACTTATGAAGTACTAAGAAATCTGTTGCTGTCTAAATTAAATTAATTGAATGTCAAGAAATTATGAGATCCTATCCCAATCAGAACAAAGAGAACAGTTTTCATGGGGGAATAAACAGTTAAAAACTTTATGACAGGTGATTTATAAACTTGAATTAGTCTTTCGGAGGGGGCGAGGGGAGATCTCACTATGTTGTCACCATGTAGTCCTGGCTAGCCTTGAATTCACAAAGATTGGCCTACTTCTGCCTCCCACAGGAAAGGTGTGTTTCACCACACTCAGCTCAATCCTAGTGTTGTAGCACCCTGGTATTTTAGTGTTTAATAGATGTGGTGAAGTAATGATACTTTCATTAACTTGTTTATGGTATGTGTGTAAGCGTATGAGTAGAGGTCAGAGTATAACTTGCTGGAGTTGGTTTTTGCTTTTCTGCTTCCATTATGTTGTTCCAGGGATCATACTGAGGTCATCAGGCTTGACAGCAAGTACTGTTACCCTCTGAGCTATCTTGCCAGCCCAATACTGCAACTTAGAAAAGTTTTTATGATTGATCTTTAATTATACAGAAAGGGGTAGAACATGGATTTGGGTCCAGGTGAATGAATTCTGTATAAGAAGTCCCTCACAGTTTTTGGTCTAGCCATTTGGGCACCTAGTCCTGGAGAAAGTACCAACTCCATAGCTGTCTTAGCTAGGGTTTCTGTTACTCTGGCAAAGTACCATTTTGTTGGAAAGGAAGAGCAAATGGGGAGGAAAGGGTTGGGTTTATACGTCCACATTGTAGTCTTATCACTGAAAGAATCAAGGGCAGGAACTCAAGCGGGACAGGAACCTGAAGGGGTAGGAGCTGATGCAGAAGCTGTGGAGGGATGCTGCTTACTCCCTTGCTCCCCATGGCTTGCTCAGCCTGTTTTCTTACAGAACTCAGGACCACCCAGCCTACAGATGGCACCACCCACCATGGGCTGGGCCCTCCTCCATTAATTACTAATTAAGGCATCTCCTCAGTTGTGGTTCCCTGTTGTAATGACTAGTTTTCTGTTAACTTGACACAAGTTAGAGTCATCAGAGAGGAAGGAGCTTCAGTTGAGAAAATGGATCCATGAGATCCATCTGTAAGACATTTTTTTCAGTGATTGATGTGGGAGGGCCCAGACCATGGAGGGTGATGACATCCCTGGGCTGGTAGTGCTGGGTTCTGTAGGACAGCAGGTGAGCAAGCCAGGGGAAGCAAGTCAGACCCATCTGTGGTCAGTTCTAGCCATGTTTGAATTTCTGCCCTGACTTCCTCCAAAGACCTAGAAGTATAAGCCAAATAAACCCTTTCCTTCCCAATTTACTTTTTGGTCATGGTGTTTTGTTGAAGCAATAAAAACCCTAAAATAACCTCCTTTGAGATAACTCTAGTTTGTGTGTCATGTAGACATAAGACTATCCAGCACAGCCACTGTTATTAGAAAATACTTAGGTTTTTCGAACTAATTCCCTTTGTGTCCTTTAATTCTGTTTCTAAATTGTACTACTAAACTTAGTACAATGAAGAATGATCTTCTTCAATAAGGCAGCTACATTTCATTGATGAGTGTTTTGTTTGCATATATGCCTGTGTACCATGTGTGTGCCTGGTGCTTGCAAAGGCCAGAAGACAACATCAGATCCCCTAGAACTAGAGTTACAGACAGTTGTGAGTATAGATGCTGGTAGTCAAACTTGGTTCTCTGCAAGAGCAGCGGCATGTATTGTTAACTGCTGAGCCATCTCTTCTGGCCCTGAAAATACAATTCCCCCCCCCCAAAAATTTATTTAATAAGTTTTAATAGAAAGGCATATAGCTTGTTGGTAGGGTACTTAGACGGAAACCAGCAGTGACAACAACAACAAAATTGGATTGGTGATTGGTGAAGAACATAGATACTTCTAAATTAAGTGTTTATTTCTGAAGGCTCTTAAGTAAACCTAAACTCTGTGAGTTAGGACCACAGCATAGTAGTAGATCACTTGTACAGCTATGTGTAAGGGCCTGGATTTGATTCCCAGCACTACAAAGATTAAAAAAAAAAAAATCTCCAATATAAAACACCATGACCAAAAGCAACATAGGAAAGAATTATTTGGTTTACTTCCTCATCACAGTTGATCATGGAAGGAAGTCAGGACAGGAACCTGGAGCACATTGCATGGAAGAAGTCTGCGTATTGGCTTGCTTTCTTACATAACCCCAGGACTGCCCACCCAGGGGTGGCACCCCCTGCAGTAGGCTGGGCCCTCCTACATCAACATTAATCAGGGAAATGCCCCACACCCAATCTAGTGTGGGCATTTTCTTTTCCTTGCCTTCCTCTCTCCTTCCCTTCCTCTCCCTCCCTCCCTCCCTCCCTCTCTCCTTTCCTCCCTTCCTCCCACCGTGTCTGTGTCTGTCTGGCTCTGTGTCTCTGGCTCTGTTTCTCTGGCTCTCTCTTGCTCGCTCTGTGTGTGTCTTTCTTAATTTTTCAGACAGGGTTTCTCTGTGTAGTCTTTACCTGCTTGGAACTTACTTTATAGACCAGGCAGGCTGGCCTCCAACTCAGATCATCTGTGTCTACCTCTGGAAACACTGGGATTAAAGGCTTATACCTCCAGTGCCTGGTTTATTGTGGGCACTTTCTCTATTAAAGTTCCCTCTTCCCAAATGATTCTAGTTTATGTCAAGTTGACAAAAAAAAAAAAAAAAACCCACAAAACAAGCAACAACAACAAAATTAGCCAGGACAGACATTGAGATTAATATTTTTTATGTAGTTTCCCAAAAAGATTTTTATTGAAAAGAAAACTATTTTCTCTGGTACTTCAAAGTAGAAGGGAAAGAAATACACTGCATGTACTGCCAAAAATTTATAGAGTAATAGCCAGACAGTAACCCCAGTACTCAGGAGGCCAAACCAGGATTGTACCAGATTCCAGGCCAGACTAGTCTATAGTGCAAGGCCCTGCATCAAAATATGATTGAGGTGTCTGTTGTTGTTGTCCATACATGCACCTAAAGGGCAAGTTAATAGGTTAGTTTTTCCTTTAAATAATGCTCTATGCATTATTTATGAGATCCAGTGCCCTCTTCTGGTCTCTGTGGCCACAGGGCACACACATGGGACACAGACATACATGTAGGTAAACTGCTCATATACATATAATAAATAAAGTTTTAAAAAATGAACGAAACTGAGAGAAAAAAATAGCAAACAGAAACAGTTAAGTTGAACCAAAAGTAATGGGATGATGTGGTCACTGTTACTCCACACTGGTGTTTAACGCTCCCAAAATTGATAGGCTGTGCTGTGCATCTATAATCGCAGCACTTGGGGACCTGAAACGGGGATTACTTCACGTTTGAGGCCAGCCTAAACTATATAGCAAGGTCCTGTCTCAGGGAAAGAAAAAAAAAAAAAAAAAAAAAGGAGGAAAGGGAAAATAGCAAAAGTTGATGGAGGGTTCCTTTCCCTTAGCAGCCTGACCTCAGATCTGCCCTGTGTCTTTGTAGGCTTGGCTTTGCTCTGCTCCAGGACAGTGTCCAGGAATGGGCTGGAAGGGAGCTATAGAACAAAGAACATAGAAAGGACCTAATGTTTTATACTACCTATGTGATTTGGATACCATTCATAGGATGTCTCAAAACAGATGGGAAAATGCTTTTCATTAATTTGGCTCTTGCAAGGCCCAAGAACAAAGAACAAACCATTCCCAGTTTCATTTAATAACTCACAAGCCATCTTATGGCAATAATTATATTTACTAATGTGGATTGTGCAATGGTGCTAAGTAGATTTAACTCCTGTCCTCTGATAACCATTACTTGTCTTTGACTCTACCTCTTCGAACTGTTAAACAGGTAGATAGGATTTTGAATCAATCTGTTAATAATTTTTGTCATAAAAAGAAAGAAGTTTTACTTAAGTGATGCTTGTTCACATAGGACCTTTTAGACTCAATTTTTAGGAGTAAAAACGATTGTGGAAACTTCTCTTGGCTGAGTCAGGGAGTCTTATTTAGAAATAAACCTGTGAAACTCTAGTATTAGTATTTGTTTTTATGAGATGGAATCAAGGCTGACGTTGAACTTCTGACACTACAATCTCCTGAGCTACTGCCTTCTTATGTAAATAGGTCTTTAATAAGAGGCAGTTTATGAGACTGTGGTTTACCTTGAATTAGGGCATTTGACTGAAAATGTATGAGAAATGCTCAGTTTTCTTGTATGTGTAGAATTGTTCCATCTAAGCTAAGTAGATAATGTTTTTCCTCTCTAAACTTCCATTCCTTTTAAATTTAAGATTCATAATCGCTATGAAGGCAAAGATATTTCAAAACACAAGCGGAACCTGGCCATAGCAGGTGGTGTAACCCTGTCTGTAATCGTGTCTCCAGTGGTAGCTGCAGTGACTGTAGGTAAGAGCATGCTGTTAAGCATTTCCTCAGGTCTTAGGAAGTTGATAGAAAAGGCATTTTTAACTATTGTGCTGTTTTGAAGAGGGTTATTCTCAAGTAATTTCATTAAAAGTACCATAGACTTTTCATTTCATTAAAAACACCAAGAACCTCATTTTAAGGCTGGTGTAGCTTACTGGTACAGTGGTTGTCACAGACATACACATCAGCCCTAGGTTCAGTCCCGGCAAGGACCTGTGAGGATAGCTGGGTTCAGAGGCTTGCACTTAGAAAGTTCACAGAGTCAGCCACTTGGGAATCTTGCATTTGCTTGTTGTTCTAGCGAGGTCCTTAGAACTCTGTGCACCTTCTCCTGAAAAGATCTACACTTCATATTTCTGTGATTTACTTTTTGGTTTCTAATGATTTAATTTAACTCCCTTTTAGGCATTGGTGTTCCTATTATGTTAGCTTATGTTTATGGTGTTGTCCCAATTTCCCTCTGCCGAAGTGGGGGTTGTGGAGTTTCAGCAGGCAATGGGAAAGGAGTCAGGATTGAGTTTGATGATGAAAATGACATAAATGTTGGTGGAACTAACACAGCTATAGGTAAGTCCTTTAAACAGATGTAGAAATGTGTTTATTAATTGTCACTGCCTTCCTTTTACTAGGCCTCATTTGTGCTCAGTGTTGGCTCACAGTTCTCTCCCTCTTTTCCCTCTCTTTCCTGTCTCTCTGAGACAGGGTCTCAGTGTGTAGCCTTGGCCAGCCTGGAACTTTCTGTGTAGACCAGGCTGCTTCCCACGTGCTGGGACTAAAGATCCGTGCCTGACGGCTTTTAGTTTTCATCACCTGAAGCACAGCTGTAAAAGGAGCTACTAAAGGCAGTCACATGTGTGGGAGAGGATGGAGAGATTCTGGTGCTTAATTCGATATTATTGACAGAACATGTTGGAAATTAGAACTTTTTCATGGTGTTTTGTTTGATGCATTATGAAGTTATTGTGAAAAGGATTATAGACAGTCAACAAATCAAAAACATCATCTGTATTATTCAAAGAAATACAAATTAGAACCATAGTGGGCAGAAATCGTGAATAATCAAAGGCTTTATACACACTGCCAGTAGAAGTGTCCGTTAGTCAACGGCCATTTTAAACAGTGCTTATTCTATATCCAGCAGTTTTTATCAGAGTATTTCAGCCAGGCCCTCAGAACACTGTCACTTTTCTTTTGTGTGCCTTTCTTGAAATTTCTTGATTGTCTACATGGGGAACAGGATGTCCAACATCCTTGTGAAGGTCTCACATCTTGCCCTGACCATCTGAACACATCCTTTCCCATTCTGTCTTACACAACCTCTCCTTGAAGATGACAGTTACATTCCTGCTTCTAGGCTTTTAAACTTGTACTTACCTGTGCCTGGAATACTCTGCTTTCAGATAATTTTATGGCTCACTTGTTCACTGTCTTTGAGTCTCTTACAAATATGACCTCTTCCGTAGTCATATTATAAAAGCTATGTGCAGGGATTATGCATGCAGTCTTCACTCTTCACTCTCTTTTACCTCTGCTGTATTTTTGATAGCTTTTGTCATGTTATGTAATATAAGTGGTTGTGTAATGGTATCTCAAATAGAGGCATAAATAAGTGAATTTCTCAATATAAAGCATGTGACTAGCACTGCAAAATCACAATACAGTGCTAATACACCTTGTAATAGCTTAGAGACTATTAGAACTGTGAACTCTAGAAATCAACTTTTGTCCCAATCTTACTGATGTAGAAAATAGGATCTCTCATTGGAACCTAGTGCTGGCCAGGGTGAACTTTTAAATAGTTCATTTAAAATTTCTAAATCTTCTGGACATAACCAAAAAAAAAAAAAAAAAATAGTGATCATCTTAAATTTAGAGCCAGCCTTAAATTGAGCTATACACCCTGAAATAGTTTTCTTTATGCCTAACCATGGCTGTGATTTGTACTTTGTTTAATTCTGATATTCTTTCTAAAATCATATAGGAGTTGAAGGCAGGGAAATGAATGAGTAATCATTCTTATTTCTTGAATTATTTTACATTTAGATCCAACATCAGTAGCAGAAGCAAGGCACAACCCTAGCATAGGAGAGGGAAGTGTTGGTGGTCTGACTGGCAGTCTGAGTGCAAGTGGAAGCCACATGGACCGAATAGGCACCATTAGAGACAACTTGAGTGAAACAGCTAGCACCATGGCGCTAGCTGGAGCTAGTATAACAGGAAGCCTGTCTGGAAGTGTCATGGTAAATTGTTTCAACAGGTAAGAAATAGCTCTTTGTTTTGATTCCTAGGCTTAAAAAGTAAAATTTAGGGAAGAATGATGAGATTTGTTTTGTTTTGTTTTACCATGTTTGGTACTTATGTTGGAATAAATACTAAGTCCTGAGACATAGCACTTGATGAAATTGGATCTGATAAATGACTGCTGGAGCTTCATTTGAGTATGTTGACGTAAAGGCCATGTTTAGCCTACTCCTTGTTTCTGTGGGGACCACTAGATGTTAGCAATTAGCCTCGGCCTGCGGCTAGGGGGACTGGTAGAGTCAGGATGCTCCAGGTGCATGAAGCAGGACTTAAACTGTCTGCCTGCATCCTAAAGTGATGATGGTCATCTTGACTGATAACCATGGAGAGGAGGACGAGGAACTAATGTACTAATTACTTTGTTTTGTTGTCGTTGTTTGTTTTTTAGTTCAGTATTTGTTTTAGCTTTTTTATGTGGAAGAAAGTAGGTGAATTAAAAGATAAGTCAGTCACATTTATCTTATTTACTTAGATAGAAATTAACTTGTAGTGGTATTTATATATTACCTCTTATGACAAAATCAGATGTGGCTGAAGTCAGTTATTATAACTCTTTTTAACATGGGATTTTTAAAAAATTATTATTTGCAATAGAGTCTCAACTGTGTGGCCCTGGCTAACCTGGAACTGGCCCTATAGGCCAGGCTGTCCTCAGACTCATAGTGACCAGCCTGCCTGTGCCTCCTAAGCCTGGGATTAAATGGGTTTGCCGCCACACCCAGTTAATAGAGGATTTTACAAATTTATTATTGGTTACTATAATCTGACTTTATATTTTGTGCTGAAACATGACAAAGGACTATATCCTAGAATAATGGAGATCTTTAGGTTAAAAAGTTTGTTTTATCCTTTTGGTAGTGTCTTGATTCTCTTGGGTGGATATTTTCAGTGTACATTATTATCTGTGTCATCAAACAAGTGGGAATTGAAAATCTACACTGTCTGCAGTTTTATTACTGAAGTTTTTAACTGAATTATTTAAAGATATGTATTATGATTGCTGATCTATAAATTATTGAAGGTTTATGTGATGCCATCCTCTTTAAGGTTGGAAGTACAAGCAGACGTGCAGAAGGAACGGTACAGTCTCAGTGGAGAATCTGGCACAGTGAGCTTAGGAACAGTTAGTGATAATGCCAGCACCAAAGCGATGGCAGGATCCATTCTGAATTCCTACATCCCTCTGGACAGGTAAGGAAGAATGTCCTTCCGATAATATTGGAAGGGTTTTTAAAAATTAATTTAAAAAGAGTTATCCCAGGCTGGAGAGATGCCTCAGAGGTTAAGAGTACTGGGTATTCTTCCAAAAGACCTGAGTTCAAGTCCCATCAACTACATGGTGGCTCACAACCATCTATAATTAGATCCAATGTCTTCTGCTACCACACATGCAAGCAAAATACTGTATAAATAAGTATTTATTTATACTTTTGGGGGGGAAAAGCCTTATTCCTGTCACTGGGCACAGTCTGAGAAAACTGAGATGTTCAAAGAAGGCTTTCATCAAGGTAGAAGGTAAATTTGTGGTCGCTAAGAGCTGACGAGAGGGAAGAATGGGGGCTGAGTTCTAGTCAGTGTAGGGTTTGGGGCGTAGCGGTTAAGAGTACTTGCTCCTTTTCTAGAAGACCTGGGTTCACTTCTAAGCCACAATAGGTAACTCACATTCACCTGTAACTCCAGTTCCTGGGGCTCTGATGCCCTTTTCTGGTCACATAAATTAGTCTTCTTTTTAATTGAAGCAATAAGACAGTCATCTTGAACTGTTCATGGTAGTGCACACCTTTAATCCCAGCATTCTGGAGGCAGACGCAGTCAGATCTTTTGAGTTCAAGGCCAGCTTGGTCTACATAGTGAGTTCAAGGTCAGCCAGGGCTTCATATTTAGACCCTGTCTCAACAAACAACAACAAAGACAACAGTCCTCTTACATGAAGTTTTATGTTAGTAGAATGTGATCTGCATTAAAATGTTCCAATAGCTTCTATGCATAGACTTTACTATTTCACTACTTTACTTTGCTTTTACCTGAACGGAAATAAAAACGAAGTCAGACATAGTTTTATTTTTGTTACTCTTGTTTCAGAGAAGGGAATAGTGTGGAAGTGCAAGTGGATATTGAATCAAAGCCATTCAAGTTCCGGCACAACAGTGGAAGCAGTAGTGTGGAGGATGGCAGTGCTGCCAGAAGCCACACTGGTGGTTCCTCCAGTGGCTTGCCCGAAGGTAAATCCAGTGCCGCCAAGTGGTCCAAAGAAGCAACAGCAGGAAAAAAGTCAAAAAGTGGTAAATTGAGGAAAAAGGGTAACATGAAGATAAATGAAACCAGAGAGGACATGGATGCACAGTTGTTAGAACAGCAAAGCACGAACTCAAGTGAATTTGAGGCGCCATCCCTCAGTGACAGTATGCCATCTGTAGCAGATTCCCACTCTAGTCATTTTTCTGAATTTAGCTGTTCAGACTTAGAAAGCATGAGAACACCCTGTAGTCATGGTTCCACTGATTGTCACACACGCTTTGCGACTGTGAATACCCTTCCTGAGGTGGAAAATGACCGTCTGGAGAATTCACCACATCAGTGTAGCAGTTCTCTGCTTTCCAAAATTGCTTCCTGTTCAGAAGTTCCACAGCCAGTTCATGTTGCAGAAGAGCATGGCACCAGCAAAAGTGAGATGAAGCCTAATGTTGATTTGTGTTTTGGTGATGCACTGAAAGAAACAAATAATAACCACTCATATCAGACAGTGGACTTGAAAGCTGCTGTTCAGACTGAAATTTAGGCTCATGAGTGCTGCAGAGTAATGACCACTGAACAACCCTGTTTGGAGCTGGTTGAACCAGCAACTGTTAAGGTTAAGTTACCAGCAAAAACCAGGTTTCATAATCATAATGCAAATACATTTGTATGTTTAGCAAGGCATTGTGTTTCGTGTAGATGTTAATTACTAAATTATGAAATGAAGGCTTTAAATGTGCATTATTATGAGAATCATAACTTAAGAAAAAGGCATGTTTTGTGTTCTTGTCACAAAACATTGCTTGATGCATATACCTGTGTATTTAGATAGGGATGTGGTTTAATTTATAATCATATACTAACTGTTCTCTGTTCTACAGCATTTGTAAGAAAAATTGAGGCATAGGGATAAGTGGTTAGTGACATTATATTGAAACCACTAAGGGGTGGTGTTGAAAAGAACTTGTCAGATTACTCAGTATATGATCCTCTTTGTAACGTTTCTCTTCATAACTGAGCTTAAATTTCATTTCTTTCTTCATATGCAATGTGGATACAAAGCTTAATGCAGCCCATTGGTAACCATTTGGATACTTAGACAGTTGAGCAAGATTTTGGCAGTTTTTGCACAACTTTGAAGTAGAAACACCTGGTACTGTTATATATCTCATGTATTGTTGATGCCATTTTAGAAGAAAAAGGTAAAAGTAGGTAACTTAAGTATACTGACAACAAGAAATGAGACATAAAACTACAGAGTAAAATCCATTAGGATGTAAGTATTATAAAAGTCACCTGTCACTAAGGCAAGTTAGTACCCATTGATTCTTGATGCCTTTGGTAGAGACTGGGTTTCACAAGCCTAGTCATTTGAGGGTTTTGCTCCATCACATCCCATAATGTCTTCTCCTCTCCTTGGAGTATATAGAAAAATACAGGAAATAGATAAACATGAATGTGGTTATTAACTATGCTGAAAAAGTATTCACCTACCAAAGACACACTCAGGCTTTAGTAAATTTAACATTACATAACCTCAATGTTTAACATGTGTATCTTTTGAACCATGAAATCAAAGCAATGCAGAGCTTCTACCAAGCTTATACAAAAGGTCTATGTATGGCTTTGTTTCATTTTGCTTTTGTTTATGAAGGATATTCAGCTGACACAAGCAAAAGTTGGCCAAAATACTGCCTGTACTGTTAACTTCCCATATAACTCTCCTAGCAGACTAACCTCATAGCAGTCAAGTACTTCACCTTAGGTTGTCTTTAATTATTACCATTATGGTGCTACTGAGCATTTTCTTTTGATAAAAAAGAAAAATGTCCCAGGCTGCAGTCTTCTACCATCATTTTCCTCACTGCGTCCATTAATTTGCATATATAACACTAGTGCCAGTTATTTTATTTGATAATGCTTATTATGGTATTTGTACATTTGTTTGCATTCCAGTTTTGTTCAGTAATGAGTGTGTAAAGAGCATACATGAAATAAATGTAAATACTAATGTACTTGATGTGTGCATGGGAATTTTTACAAAAATGGGTTGCTCATTTGCTATTTTAGTTGGGGTTATCTAGAGGGATAGAGCTGATAGAATGAATACATAGAAAAGGAGATTTGTGGCTTTCAGGATGTGGTCCAGGTAGTCCAACAATGGCTGTCTGCCAATATAAAGTTCAAGAGGCCAGTAGTGTCTGTCCACAAGGCTGGATGTCTTAGTTGGTCTTCATTATATGCCAGAATCCCAAAAAAGTAGGCTCTAATGCCAGTGAAGAAATGGATTTCACTTTTTACAAAGAACAAAAGCTTCCTTCTTCTATGTCCTTTATATAAACTGCCACTAGAAGACACAGCTCAGATTAAAGGTGGATGGGTCTTCCTACCTCAAGATCCAGATTAAAAGTAGGTGTTCCCATTTCAAGTGATTTATTTAGCAATCCCTCACAAGTGCACTTAACCAGATTGATGCGGTCATGTTTACAATCAAGAAAAGTCATCACATTTGCTGTACAGCAGACTTCATTAACATTACAAGCCATTGAGATGATTCTGGTCTCAGCTAAAAAAGAAAATAATTTGCTGAACATCTACATAGTGAACTCTATCCTAGTCAGGGTTACACAGTGAGACCTTGTCTCAAAAAATGAAAACAACAAAAGTGAGTTGGAAGCTAAGGGTGTGGCTGAGTTGTAGGACACTGGCCTAGCATGCTTGAGACCATGAATCTGCCATCTGTCTTCACCCACCCCAAGGAAGGACTTACTGAATTTAGCCTGAGTAAAGAGATCTATTGCTGAGTTGTCACAGAGATTGTCATTTTAAGTTCCCTTGGTAGGGAATTTACTGTTTAAATTCTCAGTAATAGTAATGAAGTGTTCTGTAGCCTTTAGCCTCATCTCTGTGAATATGCTGTCATTTCTGCAGAAGTCTAGATGTATAGGTCCCTCCCTGTACTATTACTTGTCTGGGACAAATGGCTTGACAAGAGCCACCTAAAGCAGTTCCAAAGTGCAGCCCTCATGACTGGAAAGTCATGGTGGCAAAAGCCTGATGTAGCTGGTCACGTAGACAGGAAAGTCAGACAGTGACGATTTGCTGGTGCTCAACTTTCTTTCTCCCATTTTATTCATTCCTGAACCCCAGCCTGTGGAAGACCCACTATAGTTATTTTAATGTAGATATTCCCTCACAGTATACCCAGAAGCTTCTCAGAGACTCTAGATTGCCAAATTGATGGTATTGACCACCATACTCAAGCTCATCTTGACATGCTCTAGACCTTGCAGAGATGGCTTCAAAAGTGCTGTTGTTTCTAGATTCAGACTGGATTAACTCAGAGTCCTCTAGAGTTCAAGTTAAAACAAGCCTTAATTCACTGAAATATTTTTTAATTACTTTATTATTTTGTGTTTTGCCTATGTTTGTGCATTGTGTTCATAACAGTGCCCTTGTTCTGCCTGATTCAAGAGACCCGAAAAGACCACCAGGAGTCAAATCTGTTGCAAAACACATGAGGATCTTTTTATTACAAGCTTGAACTTGGGCCACAAACCTGTTGCAGCAGGTTAGGAGAGTGGCCTCAAGTCTAGTGGAGCAGAGTTTTTAAAGGGAAAAAAAAAAAAATGCAAGTGGGGAATGCCAAGCCTTGGCGTTACAGGATTGGGGAAGGGTTGAGCAAGCAAGGTGACCTTCACTGCTCTTGGTGGGTGCCATCTAGCAGAGTTGCTAAAGGGAGTAAGCATATCTGCAGGAACATCTGGTCTAGTTTGGTGGTTACATGTTTGTATATCCTGCAGTTTTTCCTGCAGCTGGGTGGATGAAGGGTCATTCTTAGGTAAGTACCTTTTACAAAATGGAACCCTAATTCAAAATGGAGTTTGCTTAGCCCTTATAGTCTCCCTCTAATAGTGACTTGTGGCCCAATTGTGGGACTCTTCGGTTGTCCCCATTAAGACAATGATATTGGATTCTCATAACCATGAGCTGAATTGTGCCTAACCTGTGTTTTATATATTGTAGTAATATATTAAGTATGCAGGGCCCGAAGGTCAATAAAAGCAAGAGAATTAAAAGGGGACCTAGCAAAGTAGAGACGAGTGGTTAGCCATGGTGAGGTACTGAACCATGATTGGAACCAACCCTGGGATTGTTCTCGTTTACTTTTTCTTTTTTCTAGGCCTTCTCATACCATAACCATAGAATCTTTGACTATACCTGAACAGTCCATGTAAAAATAGCATTCTTCACTAAGGGCCGCACAGAGTCCCCCTTGCTGTAGGAATAAGAGGTCTAGCCCCCTTCTATTTTGTAATACGACCTCTGCCAAAGAAGGCAATGAGTCTTCTAAGTAGGAGATAGTAGTGTCCAGTCTGTCTATGTCTTCATCTCTAAGCTGGCTATTAATGTCAATCTTGGAGTACCAAGAAAGAAATTCCTGTCCCGGCCCCTGCAGCCCTCAACCCCAAGATGACAGCCATTGTTAGGGTAGAGATGGGCTCCCTTTTTGTTCTGACCTGCAGGTCTAGCAGGGTAGAGGGAGAGTCCCAGAAGGAGGCAAAGCCTTCTCCACTATGGTAGGTTAGGTGGGGGACTAGCTGCGCCAAGGACTATAACAGCTGGCTGTGGGCACAAGGAGTCAATCCTGTTGAACAAGCCCACCAGGTATTGGTGGAAGGGATCAGAAACTTAGACTTTTCAGAATCAGTGAGGTTCCAGGCTAGATTACAAAACTCTCTATATTCCTTAGTAACATTACCTATGCACATCCCTGCTCCCTGGCCTGAGAATGATTGGAGTATGAGTCTAGCCATGAGGATTTTTGCCATCTGCACAGACTATGGTTATCAGAAAGTATGGTTACACATGGTGGCGACACCATCCTAACAGGGAGGTTTTGCGTTGTAGCATAACCAGCAGGACTGGGTTAAATCAGGCCTGGACCCATTAATGGCTTGGTATGTATGTACCATGAGATCCCACAAGGGATCAGAATTGGTGTCCTGGGTGGGCAAATGGTTAGAAGTGGTCACAAGTCTTGTAGGGCCCTTGGAAGACAATAGCTAATGTCAGGGAGGTAGGATAAAGGCTGATGAATCTCCTCAGTAATTTCTTCAAGCTAACACTAGTGGAGATATTGGGGACTCAGGAAGGCTGAAAGGCTAGTCAAAGGCTAGGCAACAGGGCACCATCTAAATAGCAATCCAGTTGAAGAGACGGAGCCATCACATTGGCTGGACTGGTTTACTTCAGCTTTCAGCAACTCCAGATCTCAGCTCGCAATCCATAGCTGATCCCTGAATGGAGTCTGTCAACCAGGTGAAAATCTGCTTAGACAAATTCAGACTAGTGACAGAAGTTAAAATTTGTCTAGTAAATGGGAAAAGTGAGGAATCACAAGACCAAGGGAAAAAGTCATCTGGGATCTGTTTGAGCTATGCCAGATCCAGGTCTTATGGCTTTTTTATTTCCTGAAACTCATGAATTTTAGTTTACAAAAGGAAGTATACTAGTATCACCATTGTATTGAGATCCATACTTTAGAAAAAGCAGGTAACAAGTGTCTGCAAGACAGCAGGAATAGACTCATGCCATTAAGACCTAGTAAAAGCTATAGCTTTTATGGGTCAGAGATCTACACATTAGCATAATGAGAAGCACCTTTAAGTCTATCTCCAAAAGACAAAAGGAAATTAAAATCTCAAGCTTGTGACTGGATAATAAGCAGTCAGTGCTCCAACAGCTTATTAGAACTCCACTGATCAATGTCATAATTCTGAATTCCTGAAATCTTAAAACAAATAAGCATAACAATAGCAGAGAGGGGAAGAGAAATCTGAAATATTTCCCATTTTTAATATGACTTAATTATTTTTATATCATTACAACTTATATTTACACACCTTAAAACACCTGCTTAGACCCTCCAATCTTCATTGCATTTACCAACTCTGAAACGTTTTCCTAGAGCCTCAACATTTTTAGATCCTCATAACTTAAACTTTCATATCCTCAGACCTTACATACACTTTACATTTTTCTATCAAGTTATTTACCATAAGACACAGGCAACTAACATGAAGCCTGTGAGCAAGCCTGTGAAGCCTTTGCCTTTCTAAATAAGAGATCTAGTACCTAGTAATTCTTACTAGTTAATGAACTGACCAGTGAACTAACAGCAGATCTAATTGTCTGCCCTTTAGCTGCAAAGGTACCATTAGCTTAGTTTGGCCATCAATGTGATCAGAGACCTGAGAAGGATAAGTTATAAGCTAAATATATGTACCATTCTATGTACCAATCAAAATGACACAGAGACAGCTAGTCAGTCCACCACCTACATAGTTGTCCCTGGCTCCTGTGGGCTCATGGCATCATGAGCAGAGGCAGTCTAGCCATCAGGCACAGCAGATGAGAGACTATTTCTGTAGAAAAAAGAACATGAGAGACTGATCTCACCTTGCCTTCAGCAACGTGAAACAATGACTCTCCAGGTGTCCACAGCTTTGTCCATAGTTTAGACTGGGCCAATTGAAGCAGTCTTGCCCAATGGTTAGCATACCACAATCCAGAGTCAAAGTCATCTATGGTTGTGCCCAAATTTTCTCGAAGACTTTGGGGAGCTACTGCCAGGATTTTGGGACTCTGTCATAATAAGCTTACACATGCTAAGGTGCCATATTCCACAGATCTCTGACAAGCTTGAGGGCCCGCATATGAATTATTCTTTGTCTTTAGTTATCTGCTCTAAACTACATCCTGTAAAACAATGTTATAATCTCTAATTCTGGCATATTCCTTAGATAAGTGTTTTAGGACCGTATCTATTTCAAGTAAATCTACATAAGCAAACTTTGTAGTTACCATCCTAGGCTTAACCTTGAAAACATAAGAGACTAGGTAAAGCTCAATTCTGTAACCAATTGCAGTCATTAGCACAACTTTAAATATATTTCTGCACTAAAATCAAAATCAGATACAGTTCATAGAGGGCCTAGCAAATCTTTCTGAT